AGAGAGAGAGAGAGAGAGAGAACAACAAGCCATTTACTTATTAATTGTATGTATTTTGATGGACATTTCAGCAAATTTATAACAAATTATATAAATAGTATAACATAAATATGTTTTGTTTATAATTAAATATAAATTAAATTAAAAATACTTAAAATTATAAACTAATAACATTAAATTCAAAACAATTGTGAAAATATTGAATGTTTTCATTTTCCATGATTTATGAATTGTTGACAGAATAATGCAATTGATTTGTAGATAAATATTAATTTATAAATTGTTTATAATAATAGCTAAACAAATACATTTGTTTTCAAGCATTGATGCTTCAAATAAATGCATCGTTCAAACAATTTTATAATTTATCTAAATTTTACTTTTGATTTACAAAAGTTATATTCTATACAATAGTTTAGTAAAAGAGTATTTTAAAAATACATATAAATGTATGTAAAATATTTATGAACATTTTTCAAATACACTTCAAATCTCTGATCATTTTATTCATAAATAAATCCTTAGTTTTTGTAAAATTCTTGAATTTGTTATATAAAGTGTTGTAAACAAAGAGTGATTTTTGCGATATAAATAGCAATTCTGTATTCTGTTACACACTTTACTCGTATAAGTGCTATGATTTGTGCTGTAATTGTATTATAAATATAATTAATCAAATTATATCATGAAATAACTTAATGATTATAATCACATGAAATATCCATTAATTTATAATGTTGTCAATGAACTGCATATATGTTTTAAATATTTATTATTTATTTTATAAAATTCATTATCTTTACCTATACTATACAAAGTCCTGTATATAAAATATTATAATGCCTAATAAAACATTAATAATATTGCTGTATATTTACTGAAAGAAGATTGGTAAAAATAAGATTATATGTATTTAGTAATATTATATAAAGTAAACCAAAAAGTTCACTTAACTATTACTTTACTATATTACAATATAAGAATATTCATTTTGTACGAAATGACTGCATTTGCAACATATTTACATAACCATAAACTAGGAAATGAATGTTTTCTACAAATCTTATATAATGAGAGCTCAAGAATTACTTGAAATAAAAAAATTAAATATTGATTTTATTCAAAACTATTTAAATAATTCCCAAAGAAAGTAGAAACTATAATTTACATGTTATGAATTGAGATATATTTTTCTCCAAAAATTCTTGAATCAACAATAATTGAATAAATAAATTAAATTATTGCTGCATATAATATACTTGTTTTTATTATATAGTAAGTAAACACTTAATGTAAATATATATTCGTTTTAGTCTCACTTAAAATTACATAAAACTAATAATAAATGTTTTCGTATAAAAGATAAATTTACTTAAAAAATGTTTACAAAAAATGGGTTTTTACTACAAATAATAAATCAAAAATATGAATAAATATTTGAGTGGTTTGGGCGCCCACTGGAAGCTCAAGAGTATTGTGGGCGGAATATAAGACATGATTTCCTATGGATTACATGCATATCCCATATGTATTCTCACAACCATCTCATAGATTACTATCAAATGCCATATTTAATGCATATTAAGCTTTTATAATTAAATGTTTATAATAATAATCAAAATATGGTACAAAATTTTTATCGTATTAAATATGCGTAAAATTATTCGTCTATCAAAACATATATGAATTTCAAAAGACAAAAGAATGTAAGATAAATGATTTGATGTTATGTTATATAAACACTATCACAGAATCCATTGCAATAAAGTGGAAAACTTTCATTGTATTCCGAGTGTATAATTAAAATATGAAAAGTACTGGTTGTGAGCACCAAAGCACCAAGGTGGCTCTATGATGTCAGCGTACAATATTTACATTAAATATTACAACCTACTGTGTGTTTATAACTTATTTATATAAAGTATATTTCAATATTAATATATTTATTAGATTTGTTATAATAATAAACATGGTCAGTTGCCACAAAGTAAATATTGAATAATAATATTTTATTGCTAAATTATATTATCCCACACGGAATCTCTTGGACTTCCCCTCTATGTCTAAAACAATGGCATATTTAGATATGTAATTAAACTAAAACTTGTAAAACTTTTTCAATTTAATAATTTATAAAATAATATGTTTGAAAAGATTTATACAATCATTTCATACGTAAATTCTGTAAAACTAGTGTTAATAAAAGTGATTTTAATAAAAAATTGTTTGAAGATTAAATGTTTGAAAAAAAAACAATAAGATGTGAATCGAGTATTTGAAGCGACAATTGTTTGCGAATATAAGGAATCAAATGATTAATGATTTGTGACATCAAATCATTCATAAAAATACAATGAATGAGAAATGAATGGCAAAGCATTGATTCGGTTCTAACATTCGTTTTCCAAAGGTTTCTCTCTTTGTATTTCTTTGTGTCTATAATTTCTCAACACATTTATCATTAAATGTATAAAACAGTAAATAAATTACACAAAGAGATAAGAGATAGAAATAAATATCAATGTATTCTCTACAGTACTGTATAGTAAGTATAGGAGTAAGACATACCACTCCAGAAGGAGGACTTGTGGGCGTTTGGGGCCCAATAGGCCCACAACTGGACGCACACGAAAGGCGACGAACAGATTATGTAACAAACAATGACAACGACTGTGATTTTGACGGTCTTTATCTTAGCCCTCGTCAGACCCAACAGCGAATGACTTCTGGGATTATAACCGGCGCCCGGTTTTGACCGATCGACCGACACCTCCACTCGTCCTTTGCCTTTGAAACGATACGATCGGCCGACGGTTACCAATAGATTGGTTGAGCGGCCGATGGACTCATTAGTGGACGAAGCGGTGGACAAACAGTCGGACATATCGTCGTTGTTGTGGTGAAAGATCTTGTTTTGCTCCGATTTGAAGCTTTTTCTCTTTTGGTGAACGTTTCGCCAAATCTCGCGACAAATACAGACGTGAGTTGTGGTGAGAAGAACCAGAGGAATGAAGAAGAAGCTGATGGCATACCAACTGACGTATATGCGCTCGCCATAGGGTTGTAATGGGAATGTACCCCAACAGTCATAGACACCGGGATTGCCGGGTATTTCCTGGTAACTGAATATGAGAATCTGCGGCACACAAAACAACAGCGATATAATCCACGCGAAGGATATCATGAGTTGACTTCTGGCGGGAGTCCACTGACAGTTCGTTAACGGATGACATATCGCTTGGTATCTGTCGATCGATGTCATCACCAATACATACGATGACAGATACGGGCCTAAGATCTGTAAGTATTTGATTACTTTGCAGAGAGTGTTACCGCCATAGAAGCGGTGTGTGATCTCCCAGGCCAGTTGTGGCAACACATTAAACAGTGCCACCAAATAGTCCGCTATTATCAAATGCAACAGGAAATAGTACATCCGATTCATCTTCAGTTTTCTCATTATTAACGCCATTAAAACACATGAATTGCCGATTAGTATGAAAACAAAGAGTAGACCCAAAGTTGCGATTTCAAACATCGCCAGCACTGGATCTCTTTGAATCCCTGTCTTGTTTGCGGAAATATCTTCAGTTAAATTCATTTTCAAAATATTGTCACGTATTTCTGGTGTTGTCGTTGTGTCCGCATATAAATCCATTTTGTATAACAATTAAACTGCTGTTTAGTAGTTATAACTTTATTTGCGATAAAAACACAACATTTAAGAAGACTTTTGTTAATAATTTATTTAACAAGAATTGAACATTTGTTTCACATAATTATTCGTAAGAAATACACTGAAAGCCACAAACTTATGAACAGAATTTACAGAATAAATATATGGTTTTTAAAATAAACATATTTAGAAATAGACATTCAATTATTTGAATGTCCAACTAATCAGACTTATTATTGAATGGGGAAATGAAGAGAAATATAAATCATATTTAGTTATGATTATAATAATGTATGTTTCGGTTGTGGCAATAGAGTGGCGGTCGGAATGCGTTACACAAAAGTTGTGTCACATTTGGCACTAAAGCTCTAATCTTATGAATGGATGGAAATAGCAATTGAATGGTTAAGCGCTTACAAGCCATGCGTCCGATCCATACCATACTCTCCATACATATTATGCTGTTATATATAAAGTACAGACAGTACTAGAGATGCGAAGCCGATAGCAATGATTCTCTCCCCTAAACGAGAGGACCATTCGCTTCGATAAACAGTATTTTTATGGCTAAATAACAAGTTATCAGATTTATTTGATTATCAATTAATTATTAGTTGTGTTGAAAATTAAATTAAATTAAAGATACATTTTAGGAGTTATTTGTTACGACTGAACAGATAATTGCCAGAAAAGTAATCAAAGTTACAAATGATATGTCGCTAACAAATGTCTGTCCTTTTCTTATTGAAGACAATACCGTATAATTCCGTCCATAACGCGCGCCTTATCTATAGGAATAAGTCAATATTTTGGAAAATTCTTGAAGTGGATTCTTGAACTCATAAATTAGAATTATTAATTATTTTAAGTATAAACACAACAATTGCAATAATATTATAAAAGCCACAAATTAACTCGTATTATAAAAACACATCTATAGGTAGCACTTTTATTTTAACAGTCTCTGGGATACGCGTTATGGACGGAATTTTACGGTAATTACTAATTAGAGGCCAAATGTTTGTATTCCCTCTTCTAATGAAAAGATTATTCAAAAAAGGCATAAAATTTAATTTTAATCCCTATTGTATTGGAAAAAGAAATCATTTATTTATGATATTAAGTTATTGAGAAAACTTTATTACTAAATTAATTCGCTAATTAATTCGCTAAAAGCTGTCACTGAAATCGGGTATTAATGATAAATAATGTAAAATTTGAAATGAATTCACAAAAAGTAAGAAAACATAATGTAATGTAAAGAAGAGCACAATTATTGAAGAATACAATCAATGGTATTGAAAGACATATTGAAGTGCATTACAAGTGATGTGATTATAATTGAATGGATCGTATAATTGATGGCCAACACAACAAGTCACACATATTGTGACAAATTATAATACGGATGATATCTCACAACACAATATTTACACATCTCTTTCATTTCTACGAAAAAAAAATTATTTATTTAATAAAACCAAAAGTTAACAAAAGCGCTCAAAATTGAAAGTCTTTATTATATTAAAAATGCAAAACAAGATTTTTGGTTAAAAAATACAGAATTTCTATTCTTTCCTATAAAATCAATATTTAAATTATGAATCCTATTCTCGAGTGTATATTAGATTTACAATATATCTACATATACTGTATATACACAGCATTATCTCTAGGAATATATTTATTTTCAAAAAATATTTTAATAAATAGACAGAAACTTACATTTTTCTGAATGAATTGTATTTTTAGGATTTCAATTAGTTTTTTTGTGTAATTACTAATTAGTTTTCTTAAGCAGTGAATTGCATCAAATATAATGCGGGCATTTTAGTCATTTAATAAAAATATCTAAAAATATATGTTAAATTTTATTTAATAAAATATTATTTAATTAATAAATCCATAAACTTGTCAATATATAAAAATAAATATATCAAACACAACTATTTTAAAGTATTATCGTTATGAATATACAACATTATTACAGTATAGTTAATGGATTTGTTTAATATTTGAATTTTTAAGTTTTTATCGTCCAAAATGTAAAGTTACTATCATGATTGAAATTATTATATCTATAATATACATGTTTTATCACGTTTTATTTGCATAATTTTTGTCAAGTGTTTGATTTAGCTTCGGGTTAATTCAATTTTACAAATAACGATCAATTATATAATGTACAGCATTATAAGAGTCATTTTTATTATAAACTCAAGACTAAATCAAAAATTTAATGATAAAACATATTTCAAAATCACATTATACTTAATGAAATTTGAATATTTATTTTTAAAATTTATTATTTAATTGATATTTGAATTATTAAAATTTCCATTAATTTCTTAAAAATTAAAATAGAAAATATCTTACTGATTTATAAAGAATATTTGTATTAATGTATACTTATATTAAGTGACAAATGTATATATAATTATATTTGTGTGACTTAATAAGAAAAACATCAATATTAAGAGAAGTTGCTTCATATAATTGACATCTAGTAAACCAATGATGACAGCAATTAACGATAATAAGCCATAGAGTGTATTGAAAACGTGATAAACAAGTCATTCATAATATTGTGTATGTTTTTATACAATCAAAATACACATTAAATCATAGAAAGTCTGTATCTATTATTGCTCAACATTTTTGCAAAATATAAGTCTCTTATGTAAGAGTTATTTACTGTAGTTTTGGTGATAATTTAATTTGCAAAGAAATGTTATAACATTTTCTATTCAACAATAATATCATAAGTATATTGTTTTTATTATTGGATTTCATTTCTGTGTATTTATAGTCAACACATTTATTACTTTTGTATATAAATTAAATTCTTTCGTTAATTTAATACAATTTGTTTTACATTTGTTTATCAATATAAATAACAACATACAGTATATTAATACTTTTAGGTATTGAGTTTAATATAAACTTTCTCATTATAAATTTTATACTAATATTTAATCTTTCATGATCAATAACCATACATTTATTATTAATTAATTGTTATAACTTATAATCTATAAAATTTAAGCAGTAATTAATAGTACAAGTACTTTCCGTCAAAAAATAAAATTTATTACTATTTGTAAGATTTAGAATTTAAATATGTACTCCATTACAGTATTTATAATTATAATTATCATACCTTTTCTAAAAATAAGTGAATACAATTTTTTTATACAATATTTTTTTATATAGGAACCATTTGGTAAATTAAACATTATTTCATTATTCATAA